GCTACAAACTAAATCAGAATTCTTAATTCTTTAATGTTGTTACCTACGCACGTACGTTTGATATAAAACCACGATTCTAATATTAGCGCTATTTTATTTTAGTTACACCAGTGAGAAATTGAAATGCGCTTTATACAGAATTAAAAACTATTCTAGGCGAGAAATATCGCTTCACAGTAGGATGCCCAGTTTTTTGGCTGTGGTTTGTGTTTTACACTTAAAATTAGCGCCAAAGTTAAAGTCTGCGCTCAATGTCATACCAAGGAGCTCCAGGCTGTTAGTAACAAGGACAATTGAACCCCCTAAGTAAAGTGTAAAAACTGCCATTTTCCGACTTGAACGGTATTGTTTACTAAACTCCGTCCAACCATTTATTTAACTTTTTAACCGACTTCAAAAAAGGAGGAGGTTCTCAATTCGACTGTATGTTCTTTTTTTTGTATGTAACATACATACGCGATAACTCCGGTATTTGTGAACCGATTTTCATGATTCTTTTTTGTTGGAAAGGGGGTACTTCCATAGTGGTCCCATTTCATTTTGAAAAAATCATCCACCTGGAAGAGTGGCTGTTCACGCATGAAGATTCATTTTTATAAATAGCGCCTAACTTTAATTTAGGAGCAATTACTTTAATGGTTGATTTTGCTATTTCTCCAATTCAAGGCGTTTTTCTCTCAATATACTTTGAGTAGTGTCGTAGTAAGAACCTAATTTTTTTATTATCTCCAGTGTCAAGTCCTGTATAGTGGCGAACTTGGGGATATTTCAATAAAGCTGAGCAAATAGACGTAATTCCATGTACTTTTGAGGTCGGTTTTTTTAGTAGGTACTCTGTACTGAGATTATGACAGCTCGAATTCTAATCAATTAGTGATGTCCTAACGCGTTTCCGATTAGATTTCCTTATAACAATCGATTTTATTAACAAAGAAGTTTAAATCGTGAATGTAAGCCGGTTATAAAAAAAAGATGTTATTTGATTGGGATCGCGATGTTGCGTTTTACAATTTCTGTACTTAAGAATTAATAATGAATGTTAATGAGGATTCAAGTGATGATTCCCGTTCATACGGAGAAGAATCCGACGATTCATTATAAAAATAAAATTTTATTGTAATTATTTATAATTTATTTAATTTCGTTATAATTTATTAGACAGGTACCAAAGTTTATCAATTTGAATAATTTTCGTTACATAATCGCTTCTCTAAAATTAAAAAGTAAAAGTGTCAGGAAGTATTCCGTTTTTTTGTTCATGGTTGTAGACGTCGGGTCCGCGCTAAAAAGTGTCCGCACTTGTAAGGCGCTAAAATCGTATACAGAGCGCCAAACTCCGCTTTAGTCTTCATTTGTTCGACCGACAGCGCGATACTGCGATGACATTACAATTTAAATTTCGAATAGGTTGACTTGGGACATTTTTTTCGTGGTTTTTGTATTAGACCCGTCGTCCATTTATTTGTAAGTCAATGATGGTTGTATGTCAATAATTACGGAACTTCGGAAGCATACAATAATACAATTACAATGCATGTGTCAAAAGTTAAACAAATGGTTGGACGGAGTATAAGCGACGGTATAAGTTTCTAGATCGTAACTGTATCGTATCTGTCATGTCATGATCGTAAATGTCATTGAGTTAGGTTACTTGTTATCCAAAATAAGACTTGTATAGAGCGCGCACGCAATGTTTTTTTCATTATTATTTAATTATTATTGCTTCCATGCAATCATGCGCATGCAGTGCACATCCCTATAATTATAATGCACAGTGTGTGGGGCAGCCGCAACAGTATCCTGCGGGTATTTGTAGAACTATTTACTGTGAGTACGAGGACAATCGTGACATGGTTCACTTATTGACTATAAATGACAGGCACATGATACCTATTACGTCTCAGGGTGACAGACGCAGTGACAGTGCCCCTCAGATCTTTATGTTTTAAAGCTCTAAGTGACAATGCAACTGTTATGGACAGGCGCGTGTCGCTTACCATCAGGCGCACGACTTGTTAGTCCCGTCTCTATATCATAATAAAAAAGTTTTGATTTTAACTTTATCTGGTATTTCGGCCACACCTGCAAAATAACAACTTTAGATTACTTAACAGTCCATACTACCTCAGCTCGAATTAATTTCTTTCCCGTACTAATACGCTTCATTTTGCTTTTATCGAGCGGCAGGGACACATTCTTTATGTCTGAATGTGTGAAGAAATTTGAAAAATGTATGCCGAACAGCATACAATGTTCTTTCGAAATTTAGTTCAGTTAATATAAAAAAAAATCATTGGTATATTTAAACTACCTATTGAATACAGCGGTTATCTTGTAAAGTTTCGAGGTAAGTTTGTGTTTTTTTCTATCCTGAAAATTTTAAGGAATCGTGTTTTCACACCGTAGAGTAATCAGAGTATATCCTCTATTTTACTTTTTTTTTTCCAAACTGATTGATTCATCACTTTCACTGTTATGATGAATTAACCAAAGCCATTTGAGGTAGTATAGACCCTTAAGTGAGGCTCAAATATTCTACGAACGAAATTATTGGTAATTTTTTTATTATTAAAATAAAAATAAAATTTCACATTCCATTTTAATGTGAAGTTTATAGAATATCACAGTATTTTACTACTAAGATATCCGGTTTTTTTTTGGTGAAATTACTCCTCTAGTTCGTTGTAATTATTAATACAACGATCGAACATTAAGCCTCGTTTGCACTGGACCCGATTCGTATTCGTTCCCAATCCGGGATCATACAAATCTAGATAATCTCAGTACACAGTACTTAAGAAACCGACCTCAAAAGTACATGGAATTACATCTATTTGCTAAGTTTTATTGAAATATCCTTAAATTCGTCACTATACAGGACTTGACACTAGAGATAATAAAAATCGGTTCTCACTACTCAAAGAATATTGAGAGAAAAACGCCTTGATTTGGAGAAATAGCTACATCAACCATTAAAGTAATTGCTCCTTAAGAAAATTTAGGCGCTATTTATAAAAATGAATCTTCATGCGTGAACAGCCACCCTTAGAGGTGGATGATGTTCTTCAAAATGAAATGCGACCACTATGGAAGTACCCCCTTTCCAACAAAAAAAGAATCATGAAAATCGGTTCACAAATACCGGAGTTATCGCATATCATCCATACAAAAAAAAAACAAAACACATACAGTCGAATTGAGAACCTCCTCCTTTTTTGAAGTCGGCTAAAAACACGGAGTGTTTGAGTATGATTTCAAGCACTGGAAATACGACCCTAATTATTTTCAGAGCTGTAAATCATACTCAAGTCCTGACTTGAGCAAGGAGTAGAGTTCTGGAATACGACCCTATGTGTTCGATCATTATATTAATAATTATAACGAACTAGAGGAGTAATTTTATTAGAAATGTACCAGTTTCCCTCAAATAGATAAAAAAAAATTGTATGGCCTACATTTATTTATCTTGTGAATTATGGTGTAATTTGTGGTTATCTGTATGTGTGTCCATGGCACCCGCGACACAGGGTTTCCCTAGAGCGGGGCTATGTTGAGTGTGTGCGTTATTATTATTATTATATTATAAACGCTGTAATAAAAAATTCTTAATGTTTCTTAGAAACAAATTTTCTTAGTGTTCAAATTTTGTATTAATAATTAATACATAATTAGTTTCACGTAATTCGTATTGTTTTTATGACATTAATGTGCTAACAGCCAAATCATAAAAGGCTTTATTATACCAAAAGTTTATTTTCCAATTTATTACTAATTAATTTTCACTTAAATTTAATCTCCATGTACATACTTAATAATTATAGTATTTAATAATTATTACTTATAGGTACGTCTTTGCATCTAAATAATATTGACTATATACACAAGATAGTATTGCAGTACTCTTGAATAAAATCCATCACGCAGAACAGCGGGCAAAAGATAACTGTAGGTTCATCAACCTCGCCTTAGCTGCTGGTAAAAATAACCCAAAGATTGACTAAACAGGCGACGAAATATATCGTCCTAAAGATTTTGCTTTAGACGACGATAATATAATTTTATGAAACAAACGTTACCTATTAAATCAAAAAATGACAATAAAACGAAAAGAACGTGAAGGCATTAAAAAAATCGTTAGGTGAAAAAAAGAACAAAATTCAAATCATTGCAATAGGTAAAATATCGCTATAAAAAACAGAGTATGGCAAGTAAATTAAAAGAAGAAAGGAAGTAAAAGATGATGTTAAAAATAGAAATAATGTCAAGGTCAAAAGATATCGCGTGATACCTTTTAAAATAGATATGTTAAAACTGCAGTTGCTACAACATACCACACAATGGTAAAGCATTTGATTGATGGCTGTTACAAATCACGATTAACCTAGACTGATTAACAGGTTTGACGAACGCTGTAAGTACATAATTTTGTAGCCGATTGCGAATTAAAATGGCTCTAAATTCTAGTGAATAAAGTTTTATTCCAAAGTAACGTTAATACAAGAGATATAGAAATGTTATTGCCAGTAATCTATAAATTCAATTCGTAGGTATTTAATAAGTCTGTGAATACAGACGAAAAACGATATTAACTATGTTTAATTTAAGCGGACACAGGAAACTATGCAGTAACAGGTATTTATCGTGTTTACACATTATGGGAAATCAATACCTCTTACTTTCCGACTATAAAAATAACACAAATGTTATATTTGTAAACGGACGGTGAATTGAAACAATCGATCTTGTTGCTACTGCTCCATTCACCGGCTTTAAAAGAAGACGTATAATCTTTACTCAAAACATTGTCACTTGGATTTGTTCTCTGACTTGGAACACATCACACAACGTGAATGCGAACAATCCAATTTATTCGAGACATGCGCTTTCTGATTTCACATACGAAATCTTTCATTAATATTTGCGGAATTGTACAATGAAGTTAAGTCTAAGTGAGAAAGCTAAAAAGATATACAGAACAATATTATAGAAAACATACTTACAGAGCAATGCATCACCATGACCCGTTTCACATAAACACCTCGATTGTTGGAATGTTCAAAATCGATTCTAACCTCAAAATGTTGTGATAGTGACGTGTTAAATATTCACTGTTTACTTATTCGCAATTAAAGTAGGTTTACGTTTATCGGCTATTGATTTTTCGACTTGGTAAGACGGCCGGCCGGCGTGTGACCGTTTCGCGTGTGGTGCTAGCAAAGTCTCGTGCGTGAGTTCGTCATTGGTTGAAAGTAAAGCGAACGCTCGAGCTGTGAAACGTCATTTTTATCGCGCCACGCGTGTACGCTGGTTCCCAATCCTTAATCTGACAATACAATTTGCACACGTTCCATTGCTGTTTCACTGCATACTTTTTCTCTCACATCTTGTTGATAAAACGATGTAGACCGAAATAATGTTACTGTTTTGTATGAGGTGATTCTCGTGATGGGGATAGTGGTGTAAGCATGCACCACATGGCGTTATTCGTATGCGTTTTGTTTGCGATTGTCTTTGCTTAATAATCGAAGTTTAAATTGTAAATAATTATATTATTTATTGTCATTGAGTCACATGTGTTGTGTTAAACATGTAAATGCATGTTAATTATAATTCTGTGTTTGAGGCGAGTGATATCGTCAGTATAATATAATATGTTAATTAGATATAATATGATACTAAAAACTATTAATAAAAGTAAATAAGTACTTAAATGCCATTAATTAAATAATCTCTGAACTAGGCTGTATAATCCAATAGGTTGTATTTCTTAATTTTAAATTATGTAATTGTAAAGTCGTTTATTATCACGAATAAAAACACATTTTTTTTTCTAAACATTACTATAGCATCAAAAGCTTTTATCTGTCACGTATATCTACATCAATTACAAATAAAATCAAAAGGTATAATAACCATTAATGTATACATAAAATTATTGCGTCATCTATGGTCTGATGTCGTACGACATTGTCGCAAATTTTTCACACGATAAACGTAATGCATAGTTACGCTCTTGTGCCTCTACCATGAATTTTCAGTGAGTATTATATATTATTTACTTTACAATTATCCATACAAAATTGTCACATATTTTAAGCGGTCGATAAGCGACAACTTTTACTGAAATTCATGGTAAAGGCATTTGCTGTGAAATTGTGACTGGTTTAATAATAACATCTATTAATATCGTGTCCTAATAAGGCCACATGTGACCTATACGTCAAAATTGCTTTTATCACTTGAAAGTTTAAAGTCAAAATAATACAAACTACTTGAAAGAAATAATGTATAGTTACATTATTTCTAAGAAATAATGTAACTACATGTGAAATTTGATTCCTATTTAAATAGGAGTGGGTTCACTAAAAATCAGCCTTTTCTCGGCGGTGACAGAAGCTGAGTGGACCCTTTTACATACGGGGTGTATGCCGCACACATATCATTTACTCTACCTGTTAATGTTTGCTTCATTGTTATTACCTATTTTTCTGGTTTTATTATTATTTCATTTTTTGTTATTTAATTTTAATTTTTGTTTTATTTTAGCTTTATCTTTTTTTTTTATCTTTCTGACTGTGTATTTTATTTTAAAGTTACCGACTAATTTATTCATTTGAACATTTATTTTTAGGCCACATGGCCCATATAATAATACCTTAAGGACTAACATACATACAATATAATATAACAATAAAATAAAGTAAATAACCAATCTACACGTATTGCACTTGTGGAGTAATATGATATCAGGTAACCGGCCGCGGAATCGCCGATATATGACACCCTTCGGCCAAAACTCCTCCATCATGAAGGCCGACAGATATTCGGTTGTCACTCTCACCACAAACGAATTAAAATTTAAGTTGTCCAACTGCTCGACACTCAGGGTGTATTTTGGCTTTTAGGTAGAATCTTAAAACCTCTCTTCCGGAACCCAAGTCTGCTAATTAAAAAAAATCTCAGTTGTACGTCGACAGAGTGTCATTGAATGGAATGGCCGGATTTTGTACGTTTCAAATTCTGCTAAAAGTTAAGATTAGGTAATGGCTTGTCAATGACTAACCATCGAGCTGCTGTTCAAGTGCCAATGCAATATTTTGGTATTCTGCTCTTCAATGGTGAGTCGATGGCGTAGTGTGTTAATATTATAGATATTTAATATGCAGAGCAGAGTGTTAGAGATTATAAAGTATCGTAGGTATATAATCTCAATTACACCACATGGAAATTTTAAATGAAAATGATACCTCTACACTTGAACTATTTGAATGCGTCGTTGAAGATCTTGAAACCGGAACACCAGATTGCGAAGACAAGAAGAAACAGGAGAAAGCGCTAGCACGAAATTGTCTTCGTGTTCAGCCAACTGTTTACTCTGTCGTAAGAAAAAAAGTACTTAAATATTTGCTATATTTAAGTACTTTTGCGATCTATAATATAACACACAGCATTAACACAACGTACAAAGAACACATACGCAATTATTTAAGTAGTTTATTTTATTTTGCGACAAACACGTCGGTCACTCATCTCAGCTCAGGGCTCATTGAAAACCAGCGCCACAGTCAATTGCGGCTGTGGCATAAGCTGAATGAAGTCATTTTGCGTACGCCACAACCGCACACATGACAGTACAACATTTGTAGTTGTTATATTTAGTATTTTTCTGTTTTGCTCTTTGTTTGTTATTGTCTTATTTCATTTTATTTTAATTTTGTTTATTACGTCTTTTTGTTTTGTTTTGCTTGTCTAAGTAGTATCAATAATTTTTTTTTGTATCTATGCGTTGTGGCGTTGCAATAAATGTCTATTCTATTCTATTCTATTCTAAATTGTAATAGTGCATTTGATGCCTGGAGGTACCTACAGAACTCGTTTAAGGACAAATGTTTGGGTAGAAGATTAGGCTTACTTCGAATGCTATTTGGCCTTAACCTACAGCAGTTTGACAGTAAACAGGCGTATGTTACAAAAATTTTAGATACAGCCCAGCAACTGCACTTCTCCTCGTGAGGACGAGTTCGTTGCAATAATAATGCTAAAGTGGGCTTCCCAAAGAGTTCGACCCACTTATTATGGCATTAGAGCACAGTAGTCTCTCTCTCTCAAGTGATCTAAATATAAATAAGCCGTGGTAGCCTAATGGTTTGACCTATTGCCTGTCAAGCAGAGGGTAGTGGGTTCGAATCCGTGCTCGCACCTCTGCATTTCTCGGGGATGTGCGAATTTTAATTTGAAATTTCTCTTGAGCTGTTCGTTGAAGGAAACCTGCATGATGAAGGTTCACAACCCTCAGAAAACTTGTGAAGTTCCCAACCCGCAATGGGCCAGCGTGGCGGACCAAGGCCTAAATCCTCTCCTGGAGATCCATGCCCAGCAGTGGGACGTATCAATGGGTTGATGATGACGATGAATATACCGCAGACTATATCGCTGATTAAACGAGATAAAAATTAAGTGCCGCACACTCCCTAAGAATTGAGCGAATTAAAAAAATAATAATTGTGCCACTTGGCATAACCGCAGGCAATGACTAAACGATCTACTTACAAAATGAGACTTGAGCGATTTCATATGATGAACCTTGAAAACCGTAGATTAGATTAGATCTTTTTTTATATAATATCGAATGACGGGGCGCCTGATGGTAAGCTACACGCCTGTCCATAACAGTTGCAGTGCCACTCAGAGCTTTAAATCGCAAAGATCTGAAGGGCACTGCCACTGCACATTTATATGGCTATGGAGTGGAATTCCCTGCCTGCAGACTTGTTCCCTGAACGTTATAACGTGGGCCTTTTCAAGGCAAGAGTGAATGGGCCATAGACATATATCTAGATATATGTCTGTGGAATGGGCATTATTTAGGTGTGCATGCTCCATCGTCGACCTCATCGTCACTTTCCATCAGGTGAGATGGAGGTCAAATGCGCACTATATTTTATGAAAAAAAAAAAATGGTCTCTTTAAGGCAACCGTTGAGGCAAAGTAAACTGAGAGAAATTTAAATAAAAAAAGAATCATCATAGTTTACCGGAGTTATCGCGTAACATACATAAAAAAACCACACAGTCGAATTGGGAACCTCCTCCTTTTTTGAAGTCGGTTAAAAATGTAGTAAGTACTATATATAGCTCCTTGCGAAAGTGTTCGTCCAGGAAAGTACTGCCACCTTGCTTACTTCTGCCGCCAAGCAGTAATGTGCTAGGGTAATTACAGTCACATGGGACTTGTCGACTTATTTCACAGGGTGACGGGCGCAGGTCATTATCCCTCAGGTCTTTGCGATGGTATCATGATAATTAAAAAAACAAATAACCGCATAGCTTTTACGTAATCTCCGATATATATACGGTGAATCATAAATCAGTCGTCTATTTATTTTGGACTGTAACGTCTACCTTTTAGGGGCCATTTTTACGTCTAAGTAAGCCCTTTGATGATTTAAGATACCTATTTAATTCTCAAAAGAATACAAATTCACTTAGCGAAAAATACAAGGTATCATAAAATTTCTACAAAATATTCAAATGAAAGTATACAGATAAAATTTCGTGTTCTAAGAAAAAACAGGTCCTAATTAAGTATTGTATGTACATCAATTGTCATGGTGACACTTTGATAGTAAATAACGACATATAGAAATAAAAACGTCAAAACTGCGAGAAATTCTTCACGACGACGTGGACAATTAATATATAAATTAACCTTTTCGTTCAAGCATCGTGTTGGATTCGCCAGTCTAGACACTGCGGCTCCTTGTCTAGCTGTTTGATAACACGGTATGCGCCATGAGGAGTTGTTTTATGATACTAAGTGTTTGAAGGTACAGTCGTGGTCTGGTGGTAAGTGGATTGAAATTTGTATGGCAAAATTTCAATTCTCTCCTAACCCATCTTCGGTGAAAATGGTTTGGATTAGGGAGGCCACGAATATTGATTTGGCCGAATACCGAATATTCGATTGCCGAATGTTCGGCGTAAGATCTACGCATATCACGCGTGACCTGTTACGATTTGTCTCATTGCGTTGCGTGCGGAGGTAACGGGGGTGGGGCGTTTTTGCTGAAAAATGATAAAACGATAGAATCAATACATGACAGTTTCTGGACCTGTTTTCAAGAAGTCGCTACAGATAATATGCAAAATGATTAAGATGTGGAGAAAAGTTTTATTGAACTTGAACTAGAT